CCTTGATAACATTGCCAAGGACATTCTTTTCAAATCTGTTGATGAATCCATATTTCCCAGAATCAGGAAATGTGAAACAGCAAAGGACGTTTGGGATGAGCTCACAAAAATTGGAGCTGGTGATGAACAGGAGAAGGACAACAAACTTACCACGGCCCTCAAGAAATTTGAGGACTTCAAGATGCTGCAAAATGAGTCCATCCAAGAGATGGAAACTAGGTTCCTAAAAATCACAGCAGAGGTCTCAGACCTAGAGAAAGATCTACCTCAAAAGGAGATTTCCCTTAAAGTCTTGAGAGGCCTGCCCTCTAAATGGGACATGAAGGTAACTGCTATGAGAGATAGCAGAGATCTAAGAATCCTATCAACTGATAAGCTCTTTAGTGATCTCAATGTAACACCCCCATTTTTTCCGCCCAAAATAATACTTGAAATAATAATATATTGATAACAATCTTGACTTATTCCTTAAAAATAGATATAGTTTTGCAGCGGAAATAACAGTAATGGAAAAAGGGTGTGTTACCGCCACACCCAGCCCTCAACTTGGCTGGATGTTAAGGCTATCCACCATGAGTTCAACCGAATTAAAAACTTGAATTCAAAATCTACTAGCATTATTTAATCTAAGTGAAGACTACACTAAATTCTTTTAAAGCGCTCTCCAGGTTCATCAAACATCATGAGCTTCGTATTCATCATTACCTGCACAAATAAAGTGCAGAAAACGAAACAAAGAAAAGGAAACAAAAATTAGCTATAGAGCTAAGTAAGTACTACCCAACCCCGTAAAATAATCAGGTTTGGTGAAAATAGATTTTTCATATAATACTATATAAAAATACTCACACCACCGAAATTCTTTTCTAATCGAAAACATCATTTATCAACTTTATAATCTCAAATACCCGTATAATAAAAAAATAATATTTATAAGCTCCCAACAATTAATTAATATCTCAAAAGAAGTATCACTTTTCAAAAATAACTTTTGTAGCTAAAAATATCACCATTCCGAAATCAATGTCACTTTCAGATTCTTTTAAGATGGGCGAAACTCAAGATTCCTCGAGCCCAATGAATCATTGTTGCGTACGACTCATCCCGGAATTCCGGCTCCCACCGACCACCAATTGGAAACTGAACTTCACCCTTAAGTGTGCACACCCCCTAAAAGGGATTCCAAGCCCTCCGAGTAGTAAGAAGTCCAAGTAGTTCGGACAACGTCCCCCTACCTCACAATGGGTTAGAAACCCGGGTAACTAGAAACTACTACCGCGGCCACCAAAGAACTTTTAAAGTTCTCAAAAGAAATACCGGGAATCTCCCGCCACCAATATTTACCGGGATTTCTCCCGCCACCAATAATCATCATAAACCTAAACTAAACCCGCGGTATATAGCTCTAACCACCCACACCTCGTGTTTCTCTCGAGATGTCAATAATTATTGAAAAACATTATTCCTTGAAAAATCATCTCTCTATATATAGTCCTACAGAATATCTATTTAATAGATACGTCCACCAAAAATTCACATTCATAAATACTCCAAAATTCTTTTACATAAAAAAATTCACTCCAAAGTCATACTAGGGATTAAATCCCAAAATATACCTTCAATATTTCTCAAATTCTTAGTCACCCCAAATAGTACACATTCAAAATTCACACTTAATCACATAATGCATAATAAACATATAATACGAGGAAACAATTTGGATTGGCAGAGAAACTTACCTTAAGTCCTGATGCTCCTAGTTATCCTCATCTAATCCGGTCTCTAGATAATCACCTTTTTAATTAAGATGATATAATTAGTCATTAATTCAATAATTTTAGCCGATTTTCTCGTTTTTATTCTTTTATTCGAATTTATTAATTTAATTAATTAATTATTCGAGTTAATCACTTTTTATTAATCAAATACCTTATTAATTTCGTCATTAATTACAATATTTGAATTCTAAACCTAAATAAAATATCCGACTATAATTAACTACAACATCCATTTTTTAATTTAATAATCACCATTAATTTACTTTACTCATAAAATATTATTTTATTACTTTACTTAACCCATTAATTTATGAGTTCAAATATTTTAAATATTTATATGAAGTCCGAATCTCTAATAATAAATCATAAAAATTATTAATTGAATTAGTCCACTAATTACATAATTAAGTTATTTATTAAGTCTATATATAATCAATTATTTATGCTAGCTAACCCAACCTTATTTAATTTTCCTTATTTTATTCCAACATCATTTTTAGTCCAGAATATTATTTTCAAACTCAGTGATTTATTTATTTTACCATTAATATTAATATTTCCTTATTTAATTACTTAACTAGTTTTATATGGCCCAATTAAATTAAATAGATTAAGAATCGACTTTATAAATTAATAACCGTCTATAACTATAATTTGGGTCTATATTTGACCTAGGTTGTCCAGATATCTATTTTATAATTATTTTCCATAATTATGAATTTAATTTTATATATCTATTAACCGGTTCAATTACAATTAAATATACTAAATTTTAATTTTTATTAATTATAAATGGTCCATAAGGTCCTAGTTAGTCATATATTTATCCTAGTTTACTCCAATATTTATTTCATAATTATTTTCGTTATTTAGTTAATTATTTACTAAATGTGTATAAATTGGCCCAATTACAATTAAATCAATTAAAAACGGTTAAAAATATTATTTTTCAATTCTGGTTGGTCCGAATATGTATATTTATACTAGGTATTTAACTTATATTTTTCCAGATTTAATTTATTTCATTTACGATTTTATTTTTAATTTTTATTGCAACTGGGCCGAACTGGCCCATTTATAATTTTTTCTGGCCCAACCTGAAAAGGCCCAAAAGACAGACCAGCGTCTTCTTCCCCAGGTCGCCGGAAAAACGGGAATTTAAGGGGGGAAGGTGTTACCTCGTCGGACGAGCGAAAAGACGGTGCTATTGGCTCCGTTTGGGACGGCGAATGTCGGTGGTGGGTTGGCGGCAGCGGCAGCTCCTCCCTCTTCTCCGTTTTCCGTCGAAAAGTTTTTCCCCGGCGAAACTCCGGCGAGCTATTTCTCCCTCGTTTTACGACCGTTTTCTACGATTCTTTCTCCTTTGGATTCGTCTCACGAAGGGGAAGGTTTGAGGGGTGTTCTCAGGGCTTGTTTCTGGCTAAAACGGTGGGTCGAAAATATATATATATATATATATATATATATATATATATATATATATATATACACGTATATATGTATATTTCTCAGATTTTGGGATGAAGAAAACGCAGGTTCTGGCCTATTATTTATAGGGAAAGGTCGAGGGTTTTAGACTGAGATGTTAGATTTAGAGTTGGATTAAAACAGCTCCTCCCGATTTTTGGTTGTGTTGTTTTGCCGGCCAAGAAAATTACCGGGAGTGAAGTTCTTGCTTCTTTAGGACGTATGAATTGTATGTATAGTAAGTTACATACGTATAATATAGGTATTATAGTAGGAGTATTATTCTATATTATTACAAAGTTACGTAGTTACGTAGGTTTAGTGTTTTCCTTTTCCTTTTTGTTTACGTAGGTTTAGTATTATTACTACGTATGTGTTTATATGTGTATAATTATTATTTGTACACTTATTATTTAGTGTTTTAACATTTATAAAATGTCATAAATGTTAATTTTCTGTCTGGTTCACTTGTTTAATAAAATGTTGTTCTTATTACTGAATATTTTTATCTGACTAAAACGTCATAAATTTCGAGATTTTATCTGATTAGAATGTTACAACTGTTAAATTTTTGTCTGACTCAATTCATAATTAAAATGTTATTTTCGTAATCTTTTATCTGATTAAAAATTATTTTTATTTTTATTTAAATTTTTGAAGTGTCACATTCTACCCTCCTTAAAAGATGTTTCGTCCCGAAACATAAACTAAAGTTAAATTTCAAAATTCTAAAGTATTACACTCAAAGCCTATGAATTTGAGATGAAGGAAATTAAAGAAGAAAAGGAAGATGAATCCAAAACACTAGCTCTAGTGTCTGAGCCTGGCCCTTCAAGATCCAGTGAGAAATCCCTCAACAACCTCCTTACCGACGATCAGTTTGCCATGTTTGTAAGGAAGTTTAAAAGGTTCATGAAAAGGGAGGGAACTGCTCCAAAAAGACCATACAATCTGCCACCCAGGAAACAAGGGAGACCTCAAACCAGCGAGGAAACTGTTCTGTGCTACAACTGTAGACAACCAGAACATTACAAAAATGAGTGTCCTCTGCCCTTAGCCCAGAAATTTCAAGGGCAGCAGGGGACTAGTTACAAAGCTGGATACAAGAAGGACTTCAAAGGCAAACGACAATCCTTTGTTAGCGAAAAGAAAAGGAGGAAACCCAATCTGAAGATGAAAGCAGCTCAAGTGATGAAAGCTCTTCATCTGAAAGCTCAGAGGAAGCACTTCTATGCCTGGGATCCTGGCAGGTGGGCGAAAATGACAGCAGTTGTCTCACTACAAAGAGCAGCAGGCGAAAATGTCTTATTTTTTCAATTTCGAATTTTAAATTTAAAAACTTTGTCCTAAACACATTAAGTCATGTCAGATCGGACTTAAACAATAGTGAAATACACATCCATAAGATGTTTACCGGGTCAGACTTCAACACACTAGATCAGAATAAAAATACTTCTAAAAAATTTTTTATATGCAATATTTATGTCATATAATTTTTTTTTTAATTTGATACTTTGAAAAAAACCAAAGCACAAATGAAAAAAATATGATATTTTATAAAAAGAATAATATAGTTGTAGCAAATTATTGAATTTTTTTTGGAAGAAGAAAATTATTGAATTGAAAATCAGTGCAGGTGATTAAAGATATTCGAGCATCTAAATTCGAAATGTAGATAAGACTATAGGACCAAATGACCAATTTATCTATTTATTTATTTAGTAGTGTACTGTATTAGAGCCATTTGGAGGTTTTGACGGGAGCAATTTTAATCAAGTCCAAGGGTAACGTTAGGGGTGCGTAAAGCAACCCAATAGTATATCTTCAGTGGGCCGGCCAAGTCTTCCAATCAGCCCATATATAATCCCAGTTTACATACCCTAACCCTTGCCTCCTCTCTGCAAGAAATCTTCCCGGGCAGGTAAGCAGCGATGACGACGCACTTGAAGAAGAACAGGAAGAAGAGAGGCCATGTGAGCGCCGGCCATGGTCGTATCGGGAAGCACCGGAAGCATCCATCGGGTCGCGGTAACGCCGGAGGAATGCACCACCATCGGATCCTCTTCGACAAGTACCATCCTGGATACTTCGGAAAGGTTGGTATGAGGTATTTCCATAAGCTCCGGAACAAGTTCTACTGCCCTACTCTCAACATCGATAAGCTCTGGTCACTCGTCCCTGAGGAAGTCAGATCCAAAGCTTCCAAGGACAAAGTTCCGATGATTGACGTCACGCAATTCGGATACTTTAAGCTCCTGGGTAAGGGCATGCTCCCGAGCAACCAGCCTGTTGTGGTGAAAGCCAAGCTTGTGTCGAAGATCGCGGAGAAGAAGATCAAGGAGGCAGGTGGGGCGGTTCTTCTTACAGCGTAGATTCGTTTTAATTGCTTTGAGTTTTTGTTATTGTGTTATTTCAATTGTTACACAAGCTTTACTTGACCTCTTGGGGAAAATGTATGAACTTGTAGAACAGGTTTGCTACAATTCGCCCATATTTTGGAGTTTAATTTGCAATATCATCGTGATTACATGGTTATCCTTGATATTTGGGATGTTTTTTCATTTTGTTTCGTTGGATCATTACTATCCCAGTAAGAGATTATTTTTTGAATTCGAGCATTGGAATGTTTCCCTTTGAGCATATTCTTACAAGTTCGGTATGTACTTGATAAACATGTACTGGGATTTTCATTGGAAGATTTATTCATCAAATATAGTTTAGGGATTTTCTTGATAAACATGTACTGCAAGGATTTTCTTACAAGATGTTGTTCTCATAGCTTATTAGGCCAAATAAGCTGTTGTTTTCTGTTTCAAATAAGCATTATTTATGCTTCTGGTTTTGCCTATTTTCTGTTTTGGCAGCAGGAATTTTCCTCTTCTTTTGTTATTGCTAATTGATAAGCTTATTGCTTGATAAAAAAAGTCAAACATTTGGTTTCTGGCATTAGTTCCAAATAGTCTAGCTATGCCATCTTGGTGTTAAAACATTCCAAAATTACAGTTGCTCTGTATTTTAATTTGTAATTTCTCATCCTTGCTAGTTGACTCTCTCTCTCTCTCTCTCTCTCTCTCTCTTTATATAAAATTGATAACTTGTGTTCATAAAGTGCAAATTGAAAATGTAGTGCACTGTGCACCCCATCCATCCCAAATTATAGGTCAAATTTAATTTAAGAATGGTATTCATTGAGAGACAAAAGTTAAAAGGAAAACCTTTAAATGTAATGCTATCTCACATATTTCTGATTGTTTCATCAGAAATTTGTTATCAATAATCAAATATTCAGCAGTTTGCGGTGTTAGCTATCAATTAGTCCAGTAATGGATTAAACATATCAAATATTCAGAAATTTGGGATGTTTTTTCATTTTGTTTCGTTGGATCATTATTATGCCAGTAATGGATTATGTTTGGAATTTGAGTTTTGGTCTTTACGTTTTGGTGTTTGTTTGATTCATCCATATTATGTGTTCTTCAAATGTATCTTGATTCTTGTATAGGTTTACTAATCCCTAATAAAAGGATTAATGCCTACCACCACCCATTCTTATGATCACCTTGATTAGTTACTTGGATGTGCTATGCTAGACAGTAAAAACAGGCTTAGTTTATTATTACAATGCAAACTGCTAATTTATTTGGCCAGTTGGTTTTTTTAGAGTAGGCAACATGTGTTCATACAGTCGTTCTCCTTGCCTTCAATGTGAGACTTTACTTTTATCCCACTTTGTTTTACGTTGTACTATTTTATGTGCTTTGGCAAACTATTTTAGGCAATAAGTGTTCCATCTCGGTGTCCCATTTTATGTACCGAGACATATTATTAAACCCATTAGAAAAATAGGTTTTTATTAAGGTTTGCACTCTTGACGTGTTAGCGGAAGAATTGATACTATTAGCCCTTACCGAATTGGTAGCCCGTTTACATACGAAGCCTCCATGCTTGCTCATCTGCTGTGCGACATTTCAAAAACAGGAAAAAACTCTGGGAAATAAGAGCCAAAGTTAGAAGTCAATGAGCTCAATTGTTCATGAGATCTTCTGAATTTCTGATAATTCATGTTAGAAGTAAAACAATTGAGGTGCCAGTACTTGTTCATGGGATTGCTCATTCTGTAAATCCTACAAATGGCTTGGCGTTGAAGGTTTTATCAGCATCCCAAGCAGCATAGTCAGCCAATCCTGGGTGGAAGTTGTCAAACACACCAGCTCTCACTGGTTCTATAATCTCTCTTTGTTTCTGTTGGCTTCGATGTGGGTTAGTTTCTTACAATAGTACAATGTAAGAAACTTATCCGCATTATAGTTTCCCACGAAATGTCTTCTGATTGTGATTGACTTCTGAACTTCTCTGCTGCTGGTTTTATTATTGGTCTCATGGACACAATACAATAAAGTTCCACGGTTGCAAACTTGCAATCGTCTGAATTTGTAATCTGGATTTTGGAGACCAAGAAGGTGAGAAGCATGGAGCTTCTATCAAGATTCAAGGGTCTTCTTATGATTTCTGGTTTTGAAGCCACTTAGGCAAAGTTGATAGGTGAGCCGAAGTGCTGCTCCTAATGAATCTAATCTTCATCGCTAGAGGCTAGAACCATGAGCAAAATAGCTTCTGGCTTATCACTATGGTTGTCCATTTCCCACTATATTCATTTTTTTCATTGTTTATTGTTATGGAGCAGCAGTCAATGCAATCTTGGACGCGATTTTCACTATGGGTCATCCGGAAACAGTCTCTCTGTGCTTTAGTACAGGGGTAAGACTGCGTACATCCGACTCCTCCCTTACCCCACCGTAGGTGGGAGCCTTTGCGGCACTGGGGTAAATGAAAAAAAAAAAATCTCATTGAATTGGAAGGTATTATTATTCATATGAATTGAATTGTATTTTAGTATTATAATAAACTATGAAATTACATTTTATTTTATATTAATACTATATCTAGTATTTTAGGCCTACTATTTAACTTTGAATGAGGCTTTCAATATGGCATGGCCATCAGGAATATCTGAACTATCTCTGATCAAAAGCAGGCATGGGTTAGACCTAACATTAGAGAGGCGTGGGTGGTATTATCAAGGGCGGAGAATGATAAAAATAGGAACTTTTCGGGTCTGGATTTTTCAAGCATTCTAGTTTCAATTCGTATTGACGTTCTGGGGCACTGTAACTAGCATAAGCCACTAGGAGTGATTTAAGAGCTAGCGATCACAGACACGACGGAAGGTGGCAAAAAAGTGTGGCCGCCTTCCATGGCCGCGGTGGATTTGATGTTTGCCATGTAATTATGCCAGAGATGTGATGGAAATCTGCCCGTCAATGGCGCCTTCCACCGGCTATAAAAGTGTCTTCCATTTAAAACACATTATTTCACGCCCAAACCAGACCAAGAAGGACATCTTCTTCCTCCTCAAGCTGGAATTTTCAAACCGCAAGTTTTCATGCCTTTCTCATTTTAGCTCCAAGTTCTTTATGTGAAAATATATCATCTCAAATTGTGTAGATTCTGAATATCTGAACTATCTCTTTTATATGTTGGTTAAACTTTCTCTAAATTAATTTTAAGCATTTCATATTTTTTGTTTTAATTCAAGAAAAGTAGTTCTATTTGGTATATAAATCTCATACTTAAATAATCTCAATAGCTAGTACTAGTACGGAGTATAAACGATCCCTCATTGTGACATAAAGATAAAGTTAGATGATGGAAATGCTTATTTTAATCTCTATTGTTGAAAGTAGTTGTTGATTAAAAAAGGGACTTCGTAGGCTTTTAGGAAAATTAAGAAAAAATACTCAACTGGGAATTAGGAAAATATTATGAAAATGAGAAGTACTAAGGGCATTTAGTTGCCAGAAATAGCATATTTGTAATTTGAATTGCACTTGCCTTTTATAGGCGTTTATAGATGGTAACCGTGACCTATGACTAATGAATTAAAACATCAATAAGGAATTAAATATATAATTAAACAATGCATTAATGTCCGGCCGGCGGGTCAATCTGACTGGCAGGCCTAACACTTGAGGTATTTTCCTGTTGGAAAACGCTTCCGGCAGGGCAAAGGACAAGCTTCCGATTGGGCCGGCTAGTAGGCAGACTCTCTGCAGGGTTAGAAGGAAGGCTTCTTGCTAGGCTGACAAACTGGCAGGCCGTCTTGAACTTTGGCTCCGCTAGACCTCCGCTCCTTGATGGGCTTGATCGGTCGGACTAGTTCGAGCTCTGAGTTGTTGGGCCCAATGCTCGGGCTGGTATGATGAAATGGTGGATCCAAAATTGGGTCTGCTAGTCTAGGTCGTGGGCTTGGGCTCACTGGTTCAAGTTGGGGCCTGGGCCGATTAGGCTCTAGGCCTAGTCCCATAACCCCATCAGTAATAATGAGTTCTTGTAGCTAATTTACTGCAGCACATGAATTGAATTAAGGAATTTGACTTGACCTTCTTTGACGGAGAATTTTGAGTTTAATAGTTGTTTAATGATTAATTAATAGGTTTAGGTATTTCCCTAATTAAAATTTGAAATTTTATTTATAACTTTTCTATAAAATTATAAATGATTTTAAGTCAATCATATTAAGCACATTAACAATGCTTATAGATAAGATAAGTTAATATAAAGAATTTAGTTCTTGTGTATGATAAATAAATTGAATTGTATAGTACTCCGTGTAATCAATTTAATTAATTAATGAATTTGTTCATTTCGTTAGCTAAGACTTGGAAGGCTATTTCTATCTTTTTTATGTGATTAGAATATAATTTAAACCAATCAATTTGAACACATCAGTGAAGTCTGGAAATATGATAAATTAATGAAAATAATTTAATTCTTGTGAATGAGAAAAGAAATTACTAGTCCAAACTTTAATTATAAATACTCTTAGTAATTAGGTCAAAAAATGTTCCCGTATCTTATTGTTCGATTCATTGCCCTTCTTTGATCAATCCATTTAAAACTTTATAGATTTTGTAATTGCCTTTACAATTTATATATACTATTAATTGTATTTAAATTCTAGTCCACTTATCATGTTTAAATTAGTTTTCTTGTTCATTTTATTTTAGGGTCATTTTCAATATTTTCATAGTTGAAGTTACATTATATTTTATTGTAAAAGTAGTTTAGATTATCAATCAAATGTTTTAATTAAGAAAGCTTCCAATAATTTGTGCCAACTTGTAACTGTAATTAAAATCAAGGAACCATTTGTAATTCCTTCGAGACACGATAGTCAGAGCAAACCCTTTTTATCCGAAAAGATTAAGCCCTGATTTACTACAACGTTGTGAAAGCAAGTTATCATGTCTTGCTACAAGTATGGTGTGTAAATTGTGTATTCTTATCTAAGATTTAAGAGAAAAAATTCAAAACATAGAGCAATATTTGTTGTTAAATGTTGCAAAAGGGGTTTATGTATTACTCCAATTTTTTTATCGTCACAACAAACCGATTATATAAATATCAGTAGGAATCAGATCGTTACAACAAACTCAAAAAGACCAACCTTGACAACAACTATCCCTAACCAACTAGCACTATCAATCATATAGCTAGACTCAGAGACGATCATCCCTGAAAGAGCAATACGAATCGTTAACCACCAAGCGAGTGTGACACAACAATCACTGGCCATATAGATCCTTCTAACGACATAAAAAAAGACATCAACAAAAAACAGAGCAACATAAAACGTAATACAACAACAACAATATCAAAGCCTTAATCCCAAAAGATTTTGGGGTCGTCTAACATGAAACGATCCATGATATCGATGCCAAAAAGAGAAGACATACAAGAAAAAAAAGGATAAAACGAATAAGATAAAGATAAATAAATATAAGATAACAATAATATCATAATATAAGAAAGATAAAAGGTTAAAAGATAAAAGAGTATAAAAAGCTAGAAGATAAAAATAACGTAAGAAAAGAAAAAGAAAAAGAGGATAAACGATAAAAGAAAACGAGAGGAAAAAAATAAAAGAGATAAATCGTCCACACGAATGTGCACTCTCCACTTTGCCCTCTCAAAAGTCATACTCTCATCCAACCCAAGAAGTCACATATCAGTTCTGATTCCTCTAATCCAAGTCTGTTTGGGTCTTCCCCTCTCCTCTCCTCTCTGTCTCTTCTCCCCACCCCTCAAGTCGCCTAACAGGTGCATCACTCGATCTTCTACTCACATGCCCAAACCATCGCAAGCGTGACTCCTGCATCTTATCTACTATAGGTGATACTCTCACCTTTTGTCTGATTATCTTATTCTTCAGG